CTGCAAGCAGGCCTAAGTCGACAGGTGGACATCCCCCAAGGGGTCCTGGACTGTGAATGGGCGCAGGCCGGGCTGAGGGACACCCCCTGCACAAATTTCTGTGCACCGGGCCTCTAGTAGTTAAATATTTTAATAAAACAATTTTATTTTAAAAAAATTTTATAGCAACGGTGGAAATTTATTAAAGAACAAGTACAGACTCCCACATAGGGAGGGGGAAGAGTCCCACTGACTTCCTGTTTCCATAGTTTATAAAGGCTGTAGTTCCTGTGTCCTAATATCCCCTCTGATTGGTCAATATTCCCTTTCAAATTGGTTGCTATAGTGACTCCTGAGGCCCCCCTTTTTCATTGTCCTCCTATTCCCTCTGGGCTTTCTTCCTTCTTTATTTTGTAAATATAGACCTTTTTTGGCTACTTCTAATTTTCTTGTCTTATGGAAATATACCTATTGCTGTTTCCTTGTCTTATGGAATTTTATTTAATAACTTTTCTGCCCTCACTATTTTTTGATCAGGTTGAATACATTTGAACAGTAGTCTATAGGAATAATCTCACACATATTTTTCCCTAAGAGCCCTAGTTGATAAAATTTTGAGGCTTATACTTGAGATTTTACATAAACTTTAGCCTGTCCCAAAGATTTTTCTATTGAAGGATTTAAAGCAAATGAGTATTTTAAAAGTGCTTTGTGTGTATGTGTGATTCTAAAATCACTAAAATTCAGCTTGTGGAATACCAGAGAGGTCATTTTATCTAAGTTCAATATGATCTTATATTTTGTATTTGATTTTCAGTACTTTCTATTTTACTTTATACTTTATATTTTTAGTTAATCCTGAAGTCTTCAGTATTTTTAAAATATATTTTTATTGACTTTAGAGAAGAAGGAAGAGGGAGAGAGAGAGGAACATCAATGATGAGAATCATTGATTGGCTGCCTCTTGCACACCCTCTCCTGGGGATTAAGCCCACAACCTAGGCATATGCCTTGACTGAGAATCAAACCCTGACCTCCTGGTTCATAGGTCAATGCTCAATGACTGAGCCACGCTGGCTGGGCAGTTTTCAGTATTTTTAAGTATGGATATTTAATGCTTTTATTTAATTCACATTAAAGAAACTGTTACAAATGTAAAATTTATATTAGTGGAAAAACAACTAGAAAGTATATGAAAATTTAATTGCACATGTTCTTTATTTGCCAAGTATAGTAATATACAAGTTTGAATAGTTTTATGTAAACTTTTGTATTTAGGAAAAGGGTCAGAAAAAAAGTTATAGACAACTGAAGACTACTTTTGTTAATGTTACTTCTGAACATTCATTGTAAGTAATTTTTCATAAATTTTACAAATTGTTTTATATTTGAAGAAAACAAGTTTATTATATAATAGAGTTAATATTTCTCTTCATTTTTACAGGAATGATGTTTACAATTTTAATTTGAATGGAGCTGATGAGCCTATTATAAAACTTGGGGTAAGCTAGAAGTCTGTAGTTATTTTGTATTTATTCAGTATTTATTTTGTAACTATGATGCAGTTATTAGTGTGTATATTTTATTTCCATCCTCATATAGATGTCGTCCCAATTATGCCCCAATTAATTGATTATCTGTCTAGACTTAGTGGGACAAACGCAGGTGACCAGGAGTCAGCAATAACAGCCTATCCCCTGGTACTTCAATGTCTAGACATCTGAGCCGAACTGGAACACACGAACACACAAGACAGAATTAGTATGCAGTCACACAAGGTTTATTTACCTATTCCTAGTGGTCCTAGGCTCCAGCAAAGGCCACCCGGTGATGCACACCGAAAGACGGACGAGGAAGATCGAGACAGACAGGTGGCCACAATTGGTTCAGGCTCACACAGCAGGGCAGTCAGTCAGGGGCTTGTCTCACAGAGTGACGTGGAGTCCTCCTTTCATCAGGCGGGAGATGTTCACTGGAGGAAAATCTGTTGCTTGTATAGCCGGTGGTAAACAACTTGTGTCTTATTAGTGTGAGCCAGACGGTGTGCCTTGTGCTGGAGCAGGGTGTTTATGCTTTAAGGGCTTTAGGGCATTCACATCAAGATAGTGGGGTGTTCACCACATTTGGAAGTTACAGAGTATTGGGGTCTTCACACAGCAAACATTTCACATATTAATTATTTCACACATTAATTATTTCCACACATTAGAGGGGTTTCCTTATAACCATAATGTTATTATAACCCATGTGCTTTAAAATATTTAAAATATATATTCTGTTTATTTTTATTAAACTTATTGGAGTAACATTAGTTAATAACATGAACTTAAGTGTAAAACTTTGTAAGAAAACATGTATATACTCCATTGTGAGCTCACTACCCAAAGTTCAGTCTCTTTCCAAACATTTTTAAACATTTTAAAATTTGTTTGGTATCTACCTAGCTATATTTAGTTTCCTTTCAAGTCCTTCGCATTGAAGTAGAGAAAAATGAGTAATTGGGACATGGAGGAACTCAGACTACTTCATCAAGAAAAATCACTTTTCTTACAGATACAATAATTTAAAGTATTTACAATTGGCTTGAAAATTTAAAACAGTTACTCTATTTTATTTTTAGTATATTTTACAGTTCTAGCTTTCTAAACTTAATTTTGTTGTCACATCTTAAGACTATATGAAGTGATAGAAACTAGATTTTGTGTTTATTTCTTTTAGTTTTTGTTTACCTTATTTTGACACTAAGAAAAAAAAATTAATGCTTACTCACAATATAGATCCAGGAATTTCAAGCTACAGCTAGAGAAGCCTGTATGGATAATCCAATAAAATTGTAAGTGCTTTATTATAATTAGTTGAATCAGATTAAAATACACTTGTCTCAATTATTCTTTTTCTTAAACATTTCCTTCCCGTTTATCTGAGAGTTTTTAATATATGAAATACTGTCATAATTACTCCCATTATTATCCTATTATTTCAGCATTTATAGTTGATCCTTGAACAACATGGGGGTTAGAAGCACCAAACCCCTATGTAGTTACAAATTTGAGTATAGCTTTTGACTTCCCAAAAACTTAATTACTAATACCCTACTGTTGACCCAGAAGCCTAGCTGATAACATAAACAGTTGGTAACACATACTGTATATATTGTATGTGTTATATACAGTATTCTTACAGTAAAGTAAGCTAGAGAAAAGAAAATGTAAAGAAAATCACAAGGAAGAGAAAATACATTTGTAGTAGTTATTGAAAATAATCTGTGTATAAAGGAATCTGCGCAGTTCAAATCCTGTGTTTTTTAACAGTCAACTATATTTCTAAAGTTAATAATGCAGATTCTGTGCACTTCTTTATATTATTATTTTTATTGATTTCAGAAAAGAAGGGAGAGGGGGAGGGAGAGAGAGAGATAGAAACATCAATGATGAGAGAGAATCATTGATCAGCTGCCTCCTGCAACACCCCCTACTGGGGATCGAGCCCACAACCCTGGGCATATGCCCTTGACCGGAATCAAACCCGGGACCCTTCAGTCCTCAGGCCAACACTCTATCCACTGAACCAAACCGGCTAGGGCCAGATTCTGTGCACTTTTAATATTAGTTGTACATCTTACATGATAAAACTGAAAGGACTTAGTAGTACTTTCATCTAATCTTGTAATTTTATAATTAAGTGAAGTCAGAGAGGAAACATCACTTGGCTAGAATTATATAAGTGAATTAGTAAAGACTAAGGCTGAAAATCCAGATCTAACTGTTCAATGCATGCTACCTTAAGAAAAAAGTACTTAAGATTAATTAAAATTAATGTATATTTTTATTTAAGGGTTGGTTTAAGGAATCATGATGAACTCGAACCTTCTCTCAAAACCAAAGATAAAAGAGTGAGTTATAATATCCTCATATTAAAACCAGTATTTTTTTTAATAATTTTCCAATACCAAAGATTGTCACAGAACTGGAAAACATAAACAATTAGATCTTTTTTTCCTCAGAGCTTATCCATGTTCCCAATTTGACTTTTCTTAATGGTCTCTGAGCTACTGTGATCATTGAGTAATAGATGTGACAACTTTAGTTTCTTTCGTTGATGGTAATAGGTTGTGTCTCTATGGAAGCAAGCTGATGTGATTCAGCTTTTAATTAACAACAGCACAGAAAACAAAATACAAATCTCTGATCTGGATTTTCTCATGACTTCTTGGATAGGTCCTTAATGCCAGGTGGATTAGTTTGCTAAAAACATGAGAAGCTATTCTGTTTGTTGTTTTGTTTGTGGAATTTTTTGGGGGCTTAACTTACTTTGGATGCCATATAAGACACATTTCTTCATCTATTACGAGTATTCTTTTTTTTTAAATAGGTAACAAGTCATAAAAATAAAAACCTCTTTAGTGATACTGACACAGAATACAGCTGTGATGACGGCAAGACTGACATTAGCTGGCTAAGAGAATCAAAATCGAAACCACAACTAATAGGATATAGCAGAAATAAAAGTGTGAAGAATAAAGAGAAAAGTGGGAAATCAAGTAAGAAATCACTTTTTAGAGAAATGTTCCAAATAATTTTACTATTTCAGCTATATAAAATGCTCTGTTGGTAGCTAAGTATATTTTTATATGTAGATAGTATTTTTTATTACACACCCTTATGAATAGAAAAAAGAGTGAAAGCAAATACACAAACACTACAGTGGTTTTGCTTTTTGTTTTATTACTTTTGTAAAATGGTTATATTTAAATTGCTTTTTTTTTAATGGGATCTTTAGGGACATAAAGTATGATTTATCATGATCTTGGGTTCATGACATACTGTTACCATGTATCTGTTCTTGGCCTACTGTTATTCAGTTATTGGGTATTTATTGTGAATAATTATATTAAGTACTCATGAACCCAGCACCCTAAATGAAATCAAGGCTTGGCCAACATCCCCATTCCCTGCCATACCCAACACACATGAGTTTTAGGAATTGATATAGATGCAGCAAATATATATTGAAAGGAAAACAATTTTTTTGTAGAAATATTTTTCCCAAATTTTCACAGAGTGTTTTGTTAGCATATATATGGCTTCTGCTTTCTCTAGTAAATCTCCTGAAGTAGTTGGATAAGAGTTTGAGGTATGTGTTTTGGGGTAGACATAATGACCATTTTCATTGTTTAACATCAATTTTAATGTTTACTAAAATGCAAAGACTTAATATATTCCATTTTTAATAGAAGAAAACATAACTGAGCTGTTAAATTTATATTTATTTTAAGGGAATCAGCTTTTTAAATTTAAATCATTTTTTTCAATTACATTTGACATACAATATTATATTAGTTTCACATGTATGTCCCAAGTGATTGACGTTATATAACTTATTAAGTGATCATCCTGATAAATTTAGTACCCACCTGACACCATACATAGTTATTAGAATATTATTGACTATATTCCCTATGCTATATTTTACAACCCCATCACTATTCTGTAACAACCAATTTGTACCTCTGAATCCCTTCATTTATTTACCAATTCCAACTCCCTTCCCATCTGGCAACCATCAAAATGTTCTTTGCATCTATCAGTCTGTTTGTGTTCTGTTTCTTCATTTATTTTGTTTTTAGATTCATTTGTTGATATATATGCATTTGTTGCCATATTATTGTTCATATTTTTTTATTTACTCTTCTTCTACTTCTTTAAAAATACCCTTTAACATTTCACGTAATATTGGTTTGGGGTAAATTCCTTTAGCTTTTTCTTGTCTGGGAAACTCTACATATGTCCTTCAATTCTAAATGATAGCTTTGCTGGATAGAGTAGTCTTAGTGGTAAGTCCTTGCTCTTCATCACTTTGAATATTTCTTGCCAATCCCTTCTTGCCTGCAAAGTATTTGTTGAGAAATCAGCTGACAGTCTTATGGGAGCTTCTTTGTAGGAAACTAACTGCTTTTCTCTTGCTACTCTTAAGATTTTTTGTCTTTAAACTTTTGCATTTTAATTATGATGTGTCTTGGTGTGGGCCTCTTTGGATTCATCTTATTTGGTACATTATGAGCTTCCTGTACTTGTATGAATATTTCCTTCACCAGGTAAGGGAAGTTTTTGTCATTTTTTCAAATAGGTTTTCAACTTCTTGCTCACTCTCTTCTCCTTCCAGCACTAACATAATGAAAATGTTGGTACCCTTGAAGTTGTCCCAGAGGCTCCTACATTTTTTTGTATTCTTTTTTCTGGGAGTCAGCTTTTATTTTATTTCAGGATAAAAATAACCAGTAGCAATCGTGAGGTGGGAGAAGAGGTAATGGCTTAAAAAGAAATAAAAATAGAGATATGGAAATGAACTTTGTCATGTGTTTAGATATGAGGCTGATATTTGAAAACAGATGAGAGGCCAGTCATATGCACAAGAAAGAGAAGCAACAGGATTACCATAAAAAAGAGACAGAAGTATGAAGTAGCTTAGTGTGCTCAGAGGATGCAGTATTGTAGTAATTAGAATGTGGATCAAATTTGTGGGAAAATGTTCAAAGATGTGGCTAGATCTAGTCATAGTGGACTTTGAAGCACTGGAGAAACATAAGATTCACATGTTCTCAGGGAACTTACAGTCTAGTGCAGCCGTGGGCAAACTACGGCCCGTGGGCCGGATCCGGCCCGTTTGAAATGAATAAAACTATTGAAAAAAAAGACTGTACCCTTTTATGTAATGATGTTTACTTTGAATTTATATTAGTTCACACAAACACTCCATCCATGCTTTTGTTCCAGCCCTCCGGTCCAGTTTAAGAACTCATTGTGGCCCTTGAGTCAAAAAGTTTGCCCACCCCTGGTCTAGTGGGAAGATGTACAAATAAAGACAAAGTGGAAGATTAGAGATCTTGGGAGACATGAAAGGTTAGAATATTGTAGTCAGTAATTACTTTTAAAGTTGAACTTCTGAGTGAATTGTTTTGTGCCCTTGACTGGAATCAAACCAGGGACCTTTTAGTCTGCAGGCCAATGCTCTATCCATGAGCCAAACCATCTAGGGCAACATTAACACTCTTGTGCTGGAAGCCGGTCCGTCCTTGCTGCTTGACACAGTCGCTGCAGGGAAGAAACATCTGCACAGCATATGTTTCAAGGGACCTGGCATATAGGGCATACTGTTCTTAGAAATTGACAGGATTAAAATCAACTGGTATAAATGCAGATGTAACAAGACAATAACCAGAACTTGGCTGGAGTTCCTGGCTAGAGATCCTGGCTAGGCTGCTGATCAACTGAACACTGTCTCCATGTCATTCCTTCTTCGCTGACTCCGTCCACACCTTTGGGGACCCCTGGACCTGTTGGGGTTGGACCCTAACACTCTTGATGGTCTCTTTATGTTTTAAAATTATGTTAATCGTTGATTTCACCAGCAACAAAAACATTCTCTCCTTTGTTCCCCAATAGATGCTTTTTGTCAGGGGTTATCAGGTTGAAAACTGAAGTTTTGGTCGACAACCGAGACATTTTTTCTGTAAAAATTTAGGTGGAGAACCACACTGTTCAAGATGGGAGACGTTTGAGAAAAGAGGTCTGACTGATTGTAGATTGTCAATATGTTGAATCTACTTATATGTATTCTTTTATGAGATCCTCCATATTCCCTCTGCTGAAGGACTGAATGATAAGTCAATATGTCTGAGCTGTCTTATTGCCAAGACTGGGAATCTTTCTTCCAGAACTTCATTGCTTGCTTTGCTTGGATAATTCCACTTCTTAGACTACAGAGAATATTCAGGAAATTGAAATTGTGCTTGAAAGGAAAAAGGGAATAGGGTCTAAAGCTACTCTCAAGAATGTGAATAAATCTCAGAAACAGAATGAGTGAAAAATAAAGCAAGTCATAGAATATTACATAAAACATGACTATTTTATAAAGTTGATTGTATTGATTAGGGATACATATTTGTGAATTAAAACCTTTTTTGAGACAAATGAATGAGAAACACAGATTTCAGGATAGTGATTACCCTTTAGCAGAGGGAATGTAGAGGATCACATAAAAAATACATATAAGTAGATTCAACGTATTGACAATCTACAGTCAAACCTCATTTCTTGAGCATCTCCCATCTCAAACAGTGTGGTTCTCCACCAAGTTGTTCACAGAAATAATGTCTCGGTTGTCAACAAAACTTCAGTTTTCAACCTGATAATCCTTTCATGCTGATACTTTAGCATGACAAAAAGCATCTCTCAGGCAACAAAGGAGGGAATGTTTTTGTTGCTGGTGAATACAATGCTTAACACCTCATTTCTTGAGCATCTCCCATCTCAAACAGTGTGGTTCTCCACCAAGTTGTTCACAGAAATAATGTCTCGGTTGTCAACAAAACTTCAGTTTTCAACCTGATAATCCTTTCATGCTGATACTTTAGCATGACAAAAAGCATCTCTCAGGCAACAAAGGAGGGAATGTTTTTGTTGCTGGTGAATACAATGCTTAACACAATTTTAAAACAAAGAGACCATCAAGAGTGTTAATGTTGCTCTAGCTGGTTTGGGGGAAGAGCGCCTGTGGACTGAAGGGTCCCTGGTTTGATTCCAGCAAAGGGCACATGCCCGGTTTGTGGGCTCAATCCCCAGTAGGAGGTGTGCAGAAGACAGCCAATCCACGGTTCTCTCATCATTGAAGTTTTTATCTCTCCCTCTCCCGTCCTCTCTGAAGTCAATAAAAAAATAAAGAATAAAGACCACAGATCAGCAATTATAAAAAAAGAGTATTAATGTTGATAAAGATGTGAAAGTGCTCATAAAACAACAATCATGGGCAATTGAATAGGTAGAAAAACTGTTGTTGATTGGATAAAGGAAAAGCAGTTAGCCTGTGATAGCATTTCAGAGGCAGTGATATATTTAAAATTCATTTAAGGCTAGTAGAGGGTGGTTCGATAAATTTAAGAAGTGTTTATAGATGACACAGTACATTACACATTGTTTTATATATAAGAAATCTACATTAATAAAAGACAAACATGCAAATTGACTGTACCTTCGCTATGCCTTAAGCCAGTGGTTCCCGAACTTATTTGGCCTACCGCTCCCTTTCCAGAAAAAATATTACTCAGCGCCCCTTGGAAATTAATTTTTTTAAAATTTTAATAGCAATTAAACAGAAAGATATATGTATTAATGTTTCTACCTTTTTTGTAAAATATAGTAAAGAAAGGTGTAAATAAATGTGACT